TGTGGGACCGCTGAATCAGGTTGGACGCTGGTTCAGAGTCAGACCGCTGGATCATTGGACCACTGAATCAGGTTGAACCGCTGGTTCTCAGACCGCTGGATCATGGTGGACCGTGGTCAGGGTTGGACCGATGAATCAGGGTTGGACGCTGAATCGGGGTTGGACGCTGGATCATGGTCGGACGCTGGATCATGGTTGGACGCTGGTTCGTCAGACCGCTGGATCGCCTCTGCTGAATCGGGTCGGACAGAGTCAGACCACTGGATCGATCGCTGGATCAGGTTGGACCACTGGATCGAATTACTGTTTTTCGGTGGTGTCAGGCGCTGGGTGGTGGTCAGGCCACTGGACGTGGCGTGGTCAGACGCTGGACGCTGGACGCTGGATCGTGGTTGGACGCTGGATCGCGGGTTGGACCGCTGGATGGACGCTGGATCATGGTTGGACCTCTGGTTCAGGAATCGAACCGCTGGATCATGGTTGGACCGCTGAATCAGGGTTGGACTGCTGGTTCAGAGTCAGGACTGCTGGTTCAAGAGTCAGACGGCTGGATGCCATTACGGACCGCTGAATCAGGGTTGGACTGCTGGTTCAGAGTCAGACTGCTTTGCTGAATCAGGGTTGACCGCTGGTTCAGATCAGACTGGATCAGTCCCGCTGAATCAGGGTTGGACCGCTGGTTCAGGAGTCAGACCGCTGGATCATGGTCCGGACCTGAATCAGGGGGACCGCTGTTCAGATCAGGGGATCATGGTCGGACCGCTGAATCAGGTTGGACCGCTGGTTCAAGTCAGACGCTGGAACCCGCTGAATCATGGTTGACCGCTGGTTCAGAGTCAGACGCTGATCATGGTGGACCGCTGAATCAGGGTTGGACCGCTGGTCAGAGTCAGAATCAGGACGCTGAATCAGGGTTGGACCGCTGGTTCAGAGTCGACCGCTGGATCATCGGACCGCTGATCAGGGTTGGACCGCTGGTTCGAGTCAGACCGCTGGATCATGGTCGGACCGCTGAATCAGGGTTGACCGCGTTCTTCAGGTCACGTGAATCAGGGTTGGACCGCTGGTTCAGAGTCAGACTGGATCATGGTCGATCGCAATCAGGTTGACCGCTGGTTCAGAGTCAGACGCTGGATCATGGTCGGACCGCTGAATCAGGGGTTGGACCGCTGGTTCAGAGTCAACGGCTGGATCATGGATCATCGGACCGCTGAATCAGGTGGACCGCTGGTTCAGAGTCAACCGCTGGATCATGGCGGACCGCTGAATCAGGGTTGGACCGCTGGTTCAGGAGTCGACCGCTGAACTGGACCGCTGAATCAGGGTTGGACGCTGGTTCAGAGTCAACCCGCTGAATCAGGGTTGACGCTGGTTCAGAGTCAACAATTGATCAGACGCTGAATCAGGGTTGGACGCTGGTTCAGAGTCAGACCGCTGGATCATGGTCGGAGAATCAGGGTTGGCGCTGGTTCAGAGTCAACTGCTGGATCATGGTCGCTGAACGCATCGGGGTTGGACCGCTGGTTCGAGTCAGACGCTGGATCATGATCCGGACCTGTGAATCAGGTTGGACGCTGGTTCAGAGTCAGACTGCTGGATCATGGTCGGACGCTGAATCAGGGTTGGACCCCGCTGGTTCAGAGTCAGACCGCTGGATCATGGTCGGACCGCTGAATCAGGGTTGGACCGCTGGTTCAGAGTCGACTGGATCATCGGTCGGACCGCTGAATCAGGGTTGGACCGCTGGTTCAGAGTCAGACCGCTGGATCAGTCGACGCTGAATCAGGGGTTGGACCGCTGGTTCCGCTGGTGGTCAGAGTGGATCGCTGGAATCAGGGTTGACCTCAGGGTTCAGAGTCAGACAGCTGGATCATGATCCAGACCGCTGAATCAACGCTGGTTCAGAGAGATGAACCCGCTGGATCATACCGCTGTTCAGAGTCAGTGCTGGCGGTCGACCGCTGAATCAGGGTTGGACCGCTGGTTCAGAGTCAGACCGCTGGATCATACGGACCGCTGAATCAGGGGTTAGACCGCTGGTTCCAGAGTCAACCAGCTGGATCATGGTTTGACCGCTGAATCAGGGTTGGACGCTGGTTCAGAGTCAGACCGCTGGATCATGGTCGGACCGTTTGGGAATCAGGTTGGACTGAATCAGGAATCGCTGGATCATCTGGATCATAGCTGGTCGGACCGCTGATCAGTTGGACCGCTAGTTCAGATCGACCGCTGGATCAGCGGTGGGCTGAATCAGGGTGGACCGCTGGTTCAAGTCAGACCGCTGGATCATGGTCGGACGCTGGTTCAGGAGTCAGACCACTGGATCAGGTCGGATCGCTGGATCAGGTTGGACCACTGGATCAGAATTCCTGTTTCAGGTGGTGTCAACCGCTGGGTGGTGGTCAGGCCACTGGGTGCGGTCAGACCAATGGGTCGGGTCGAGCGGAAGACGCTGGATCGGTCGGCCGCTGGATCGTGGCCGGCCGCTGGATCGGGCGGGCTGGATCGTGTCGACCGCTGGATGCGGTCGGACCGCTGGATCGTGTGGTCGGACCGCTGGATCAAGGTTGAACCGGCTGGATCATGGTTGGACCTCTGGTTCAGAGTCAGACCGCTGGATCATGGTTGGACCGCTGAATCAGGGTTGGATGGTTCAGACAGACTGCTGGTTCAAGTCAACCGCTGGATCATGGTCGGACCGCTGATCAGGGTTGGACTGCTGGTTCAGAGTCAGACCGCTGGATCATGGTCGGACCGCTGAATCAGGGTTGGACCGCTAGTTCAGAGTCAGACGCTGGATCATGGTCGGACGCTGAATCAGGTTGAACTTCGCTGGTTCAGAGTCAGACCGCTGGATCATGGTCAGACCGCTGATTCAGGGTTGGACCGCTGGTTCAATCAGATCAGTCAAGACCGCTGAATCAGGGTTGGACGCTGGTTCAGATCAGTTCTGGAGAGAGTCAACCGCTATGTTCAGGGTTGACCTGGTTCAGGAGTCGGACTGCTGGTTCAGTCAACCGCTGGATTCAGACCGCTGTTCAGAGTCCCGCTGAATCAGGGTTGGACCGCTGGTTCAGAGTCAGACCAGCTGGATCATGATCAGACCGCTGAATCAGGGGACACGCTGGTTCAGAGTCAGACCGCTGGATCATGGTCGGACCGCTGAATCAGGTTGGACCGCTGGTTCAGAGTCAGACCGCTGGATCATGGTCGGACCGCTGAATCAGGGTTGACCGCTGGTTCAGAGTCAGACCGCTGGATCATGGTCGGACCGCTGAATCAGGGTTGGACGCTGGTTCAGGTCAGACGCTGGATCATGGTCGGACCGCTGAATCAGGGTTGGACCGCTGGTTCAGAGTCAGACCGCTGGATCATGGTCGGACCGCTGAATCAGGGTTGGACCGCTGGTTCAGAATCAACGCTGGATCATGGTCGACGCTGAATCAGGTCGGACCGCTGGTTCCAGAGATCATGGTCGACGCTGGTTCAGAGTCAGACCACTGGATCAGGCGGATCGCTGATCAGGGTTGGACACTGATCAGAATTCCTGTTTTTCAGGTGGTGTCAGCAGGTCGTGGTCAGCCACTGGGCCAGACCAATGGGCAAATGGTCGGGCCGCTGGATCGTGGTCGCTGGATAAGTGGTCGGACCACTATCATGGGCGCTGGTGGTTGGACCGCTGGATCAGGGTTGGACGGCTGGATCATGGTTGGACCTCGTTCCAAGTGGGACGCTGGATGGAGTGGTCGGACCGGCTGGATCGTGGTCGGGCCGCTGGATCGTGGTTGGACCTCTGGATCAGGGTTGGACCGCTGGATCATGGTTGGACCTCTGGTTCAGAGTCAGACCCGCTGGATCATGGTTGGACCGCTGTTCAGGGTTGGACCGCTGTTCAGGAAGTCCGAACTGCTGGTTCAGAGTCAGACCGCTGGATCATAGTCGGACCGCTGAATCAGGGTTGGACTGCTGGTTCAGAGTCAGACCGCTGGATCATGGTCGGACCGCTGAATCAGGTTGGACCGCTGGTTCAGAGTCAGACTGCTGGATCATGGTCGACCGCTGAATCAGGGGGACCGCTGTTCAGAGTCAGACCGCTGGATCATCAGAGTCTGATTCAGGGTTGGACGCTGGTTCAGATCAGACGCTGGATCATGGTCAGACTGAATCAGGAGTTGGACGCTGCTTCAGAGTCAGACCGTGAATCAGGTTGGACCGCTGGTTCAGAGTCAGACGCTGGATCATGATCAGACCCGCTGAATCAGGGTTGGACCGCTGGTTCAATCAGGCGCTGGAACATGTCGGACCGCTGAATCAGGAGTTGGACCGCTGGTTCAAGTCAGGAGCCGCTGGTTCAGGGTCAGACCGGCTGGATCATAGTCAGACCGCTGGTTCAGAAGTCGAACCGCTGAATCAGGGTTGGACCGCTGGTTCAGAGTCGAACCGCTGGATCATGATCAGACCGCTGAATCAGGGTTGGACCGCTGGTTCAGAGTCAGACCGCTGGATCATGGTCGACGCTGGTTCAGTCAGACCGCCGGCGGTCGGACGCTGAATCAGGGTGGACGCTGGTTCAGAGTCAGACCGCTGGATCATGGTGGGACACGCTGAATCAGGTGGACCGCTAGTTCAGAGTCAGACGCTGGATCATGGTGGACCGCTGAATCAGGGTCGGACCGTGGTTCAGAGTCACCGCTGGATCCGGACCGCTGGTTCAGAGTCAGACCACTGGATCAGGGTCGGATCGCTGGATCAGGGTTGGACCACTGGATCAGGAATTCCTGTTTTTCAGGTGGTGTCAGGCCGCTGGGTCGTGGTCAGGCCACTGGGTCGTGGTCAGACCAATGGGTCGTGGTCGGACCGCTGGATCGTGGTCGGGCCGCTGGATCGTGGTCGGGCCGCTGGATCGTGGTCGGGCCGCTGGATCGTGGTCGGGCCGCTGGATCGTGGTCGGGCCGCTGGATCGTGGTCGGACCACTGGATCAGGAATTCCTGTTTTTCAGGTGGTGTCTCTCCTTCATGACCTCCTTGTGGAACGAGAGGAAGCGCAAGGTGAACGGTTGAAGCAGCTCCTCCGCCTCAACATTAACGAACAACTGTCGACGGGAGGATGGTGTCCAGCTGTGTCATCTCTGTTAGCAGCGGCGTCATTTGACCGGCGGGATCGACGGTACGATATGGGCGCAGCGCTGAGGAATGAGATGCCACTCAGACCCGACCATGACACGGTGAGCTAGAAAGATAACTACTGTAGTTTACTTGGAATTAAGGGATGCCTGGGTTTACAGTACTCACCAAGCAAAATGATCTGGGGTGTGTTAATCTTGCTTGATCTGTAAAATTTATTGTATTTTTTCTTTTTTTTTTTTCAGGTGGATAAGGTTGTATCAGCCATGGGCAGAATGGTAAATGTGTGTCGTTACCAGTTCTACGATGCCCTTCCTCTTCTCAGACATCTGGCTCACACCTACAACGACTTGGCTTACAAAGAACAGTTCCAGGATGACAACGACGAGGGTCATGTGTTCAAGAGTATAGCAGACATGATTCAAAGACTTCTAAAGAATATTGGACAAAGAAATGAACTATGAGCTTTAGAACTGTGTATTAAACAATGGTGATAGTACAAAGTTTGCCCAAGAGCCCTTGTGTATTTTGTTTTGTGATTTAAATTTTAGTATGACTTGCATGCCTTTTTTACAGTATAATTAAAAGATAATTCATTGATTTTGTGCTGAGCTATATCAGGTCACTCTTAAGCGTTTTACAGAGCAACATCAGGTCACTCGGTCATGTCTACAGAGCAACATTTGGTCACTCTTTGACCTTGTAACAAACAACAGAGACTCCCTCACATCCTGACCCAACATTGCCTTTGTGTATCCTTGTATTCCACATGCTGATAATCTAACACAGTAAAAATTACAGTAAATGGGCCTTTAAGTAATTTTTTACTATACTTTGATTAGCAGATATCACAGTAATTTTAGTGAATTCGTGAATGACTAGGTTTGGCTAACCCATGCAAGTGTGGAAACTGGCCATAAAATGATAATAATGATGACTTGACATCTTAAGGCCTGAGTTATAGGTTTGAAAAGTGTGCACTAATTGTGTTGCAAGCATCACCATGAACTAACCACCACCCTTCAGTAAGTAGTTGTGATAATCTGGAGTACATTTTTCCCCACACCAGTTACAAGTAAGTTATTCATACACATAACAAGGACATTGTACTTGGGATGAAAGGCTTTTTTCCACACATTCTTTGTATCCTTGACCATCAGAAGGAAGAACTGTTCCTCCTCAGTCATAAATGGTGGTATTGTTTCAAGAGCCGTGGTAATTAATGATGACCAGTGTGCTGTACTCGGGCGTATAAAGAAAGCTTCCTGTACGTGAGTAGGATTGATTAAACACTGTACTGATCTCTTGTAATAACCTCCCACTGGACGCTGTTGTACTGTTGTTATCTTTCACAATGAAATGTGTTATATACTGAATGGTAACAAGTATCAATTCCTTCTTTTACCTTTCTAGAGTATTGACTACACAGGGTTATCACTCGGAAGCTCTTCCTGAAGTCTTCCTTCTCTCACACACCCGCCCCTTTAATATCTTATTCACATTTTGACTTCAATAACTCCTAAAAGAAACTACTGTTGTTAAGTTTTTAGCTATTGATAGTCAGATAGATAAATATTCAGTAAAATTTTCCAACTAAGTTTACATTGACTCGGCAGTTGTCTTAGAGGCGTTTTGCAAAACACAGTACGTATACTGTAAGGTTGGAAACAGAATACATAACCTTCCCTATGGTTTTTAATGAATAAAATATGGTGTCCAATTGTTTACAGTTTGCCTAACGGGCACAGTATGGTATGATCACAGTTTTCCGTCCTGGTGGGTGAGGAGGCAGATGTCTTTTTTTGTTAGTACAGTACCGTACTGTAAGTTTTATTGAATAAATGACGATAAAATACTTGATACTTGTAAACCTCTCGGGTATAGCAGTTGACATCCTAACCCTTTTGGGGTGATCTCATTGTTAATTATGTCCAGGTGTCATGTGGAATTATACCAGTAAGCTGTTGATGAAAGTCTTATTATACAGTACCTGTACAGGTAAATCCAAATTTATGAGGATTTTATTTATAAAAATTAAAAGTTATGGGATAATATTTGTCCATCACTTTAATGTATAAACAAAAACCTATAGATAAGAAAAAATTCGTTGTTTTTGTATTATTTTTCTTAAGTACAGTATACATATTAATGAAAATACGATAAAATAGTGCCTTGTTTTTTGTTACTTTTTCACTGTCCGTATTCTTACTTATTTTACTAACTCGCATTTTTATAATTCTCTAACACTTGCAATGTTATTAATTTTACAAATAAGCTTTTGATGTGTCCCCATTCACCTACGTAATTTTTATTGACAAGCTCTACCAGGAACGTTGCCCTCTCATAAATAGTGGTCCGCCTGTACTGTAGCTTGTTCAAGGTGTTGGATGAATAATTTGTATTACATGAACCAGTTGTAATATTTACCTCTTAAATTATTTCATATTTTTCTGAGTAATATACTTTTGAACATAAGTACTCTATTGTCGTCTAATTCTTATTAATATTATATACAAATAAAATAGGGGGTTGTTGAGACAATATTTGATGTGGATAATACTTACTGAGCTAGGAAGAGCTTATGGTACAGTACAGTAAATTGCAGAAGAAAAAACTTTGTAGAAGTGTTGAGATTCTGGTGATTTGTTCAGACTTTTCCTAAACCATGTACCATAGTTAGGATCACCTGAAGATTTGCACCTGATGACTAAGACACCCTTACTTATTTTTCCTGATACTGCCTTAACCTTTTGGCTGCGGGAAGTTACCCTAAGCTGAATGGAATCATCTGGCAGTAGCCAGAATAAAATGGTAAGTGCAGGAATTGCAGCAAAAGGGTTAATCTAACCTAACCTAACTTAATCTCATCTCCCACCAGGTAGCATTGGGTTGGTTAATAATCAGATGAAATAAGCTGGGGCTAATCTTCAGGTGAAATAAGCTGTAGCGAGTTAATCTTCAGGTGAAATAAACTAGTGTAAATTAATCTTCAGGTCTTCCTCTGATTGCTCTCTGTGACCACCACCTTGAGAATGATTACTAGTTTGAAAACATACAGGAGTATATATCATTAGTATGAACTATCATATACTATACTGTAAGTTAAACTCACAAGACCTCTATAGCCATGTTGAAAGTGGCCAAGAGATAGAAGACTCTTTCTACTTGGTCATTCATTGTCTCTTGTGTAAATGTGTACTATTCAGGTACAGTACTTATTTCTCTTCCTTGTATCAGTGTAGCTTCATGCACCGGTAAGGTTATGACTAGTGATATCTCCGTTAGCCGGGACAATTGGTGCAGAGCACTTCTGGGTAATGAGACTACGGTACTCTCCCAAAGCTGGAAAATGATCCCTCATCCCTGGAATTTTCCGTGAACCGGGAACTTTTTCGCGGAAGTTCCAGAAATTGCGCACTACATCTTCTCTCAAACCCGGAAATAAATGCCCTATTCCCCGACTTTTTCCGGGTACCAGAATTTTTTCAGAATTTTCCAGAATGATCCATTATTTCATCTCTCAAAGCTGGAGAAAATCCCCCATCTCCGGAATGTTACGTGTACAGATTCCGGAAATTTTTTTCTCAATTTCTGAAAAATGCGCCCGATTTTCATCTCTCGACCCCGGAAAAAAAATCCCCCATCTCCGGAATGTTACGTGTACAGATTCCGGAAATTTTTTTCTCAATTTCTGAAAAATGCGCCCGATTTTCATCTCTCGACCCCGGAAAAAAAATCCCCCATCCCCGGAATTTTCTGAATACCCTGTACAGGTACCAGGAAAATTCTGGATATCGGAGAGTTCCGGTTAAAAGGGTTTCCAGCTAAAGGAAATAATATTTATATCTCTCTTGAGTTTTGTAAAAGACTTGAATGAAGAGACTTTCTGTACTCGTATACTGTACATTGTATATGGAATTGATGTAATTTTAGGCGGGTTTTGTGTTTAGCAAGGATATTACTGTGTAATGTATCATTCAAAGTTACTCAGGAAATTGATTTAGAATGAGAGACTTGTTTAAAGGACGTTGACTAATGAGAGTAGGCGATGAGACAGGTGACATAGTTCTGTCTCATAATTTTTGAGGTTTGATTGACTACTGTAGTGTATTTCCTAACCTTGTTATGCTCTTAAAGGCCCAAGTTGTTGAAGCAGAGTACAGTACAATAATATTATAACCTCAATAAAAAATATAGATGGAGTATGTTAATGGTCTGAGTATACTGTACTGTAGATACATCACATTGATCTGTGAAAAGTTGCATGCTTGTCTTATTTCTGGTGCAGTCGCTCTGTGGTTCTGTGTGTAGCCAGTGGGTTCACACATTATTTATATTTACAATAAAACATGACTTTTTTTAATCAATAGACCTACCTGTTTTTTTTTATTATTTCTTTGTGATAATGCCAAACTGGGGTTAAATTTTTTATTTCTTGGGATGGGAAGTACCACTTGGATATTGTTTAGTAATCTCTGGGTGATATGCACATGCTGGGATACAATTTGGATAAAGAGAAGGGAAAATAGGCGAGTTGATTAATGTGTGACTCAGATCTCCCGAGCAAGCATCGGCACTGTCCCCATGGCTCTTCTTATGACACAGACGGTGGACAGAAAAAACAGTATTCTTGGATCCTCTGGTACAGTATAGTATTCAATATTATTGTCATGGTGTTTGGTCTCTTGGTCAGGTATTGTACAGTATTGTATTGCCTGAAATGAGGGAATTATACAGTGTCCATAAATTATTTGACCCATTTTAAAAATTAATAAACTTGAATATTGGAATAACAAATGGTGCACATGTGGAAGTCTATAACGACCAGAAAATTTTTTCACGAGTTAGTTGTTCATTATGTACTACACGGTTATCCCTCATTTAACAATGGGACTGTGTTTCTGAGAAACCTAACACGAAGCAAAATTATCGCCAAACTAGGGATGACAGCAAAGCACGGAGTGCAAACGACAGGTTCAAATGGCAGGGTGGTAAACACCGAGTATAGTACAATACTGTATTCCCTAATAATAAACATAAACGAGTTTGTTATAAATTGTTTCGAAGCTAAACTCTAAATTTATTAACACCAAACTTCTATATAAACAATGTGGTTCACTGTTAAGCGATTTAGTGTGCAAAGGGGGAGCCTAATTTGAACCAATTTCAAATTGCATATGTCAAAAATGAAAAAAAAAATTGCTTTGATAAACAAAGTTTATACATAGCATATATGTGACACAGTTCAGCTGAAAAATCACCCAGCTGACTGAGAGACCTGTGGCTGGGTTGTGTGTATACTGTAACAACACGTTGGGGAGCAAGGCTGGTCTTGCAACATACTGCCTCCACAAATATGTTCACTTTACTCATACACACTCGTGGTCTTCATTTTCTTATTTTATAGTTTTATATTATACTAATTTATTTCTAAGCCACATTGGAGTATTGTAAGGATTTTCCGCAACATTTATAGTTTCGTTACAAGTAACAAAAGCAACTTGCCATTTCACAGGCCAACCTTAACCCCAGTTTTTCTCTCTTCACAGGGGGTCCAGGTGTCCCTAAACCAAATTTTGACCTGACATTGAGGTAGTGTCAAAAACATTTTTTTACTAAACTGAATTAATGCTAAATGAAGGATACCTGTATATTAAAACCAGCATATTTTATTTATGCTGTTTTTGAAGTTATGAATTTTTAAAATGGGTCAGATAATTTTGGGAGACTTTGTACATGTACAGTATAACAATATTGGATCCCAGTAGTAGGACACCTCAGGTGTTAGACTTGAAAAACTAAATACTGTGCAGTATACTGTACTGTATGTATAAATAAATATTTTCTTGAGTTTAAAACAAAAAGTTTGTGAACCTTGGAGGTCTTAACAATAAGGTTATTCTTTTGTGTTGGTTCCTCCATAATTATTAGAGTTAATGTACATGTTGAATGCTGTGCAGAGTTGCCTCACAGGAAAATATATATATATATATATATATATATATATATATATATATATATATATATATATATATATATATATATATATATATATATATATATATATATATATATATATATATATATATATATATATTCTCTCTCTCTCATATTTAGTTATGGGAGGCACAGAACCCGTATCTCCAAGTGCCCAACCTATGACCTATTTGCCAATCACGTACGTCGTGATATTACTACTGCAATGTTTTTGTTTGAGGACTCTGGTTACTGCAGGGGTGTAGGAACAGATTACCACAACTACTAAAATATGTCAAGTTTAAACTTACTTGCAAAGAAGCAGGTATTGTTCATGTTTCTGCCTCTACTCAGCTGCCATAGTGTCTTTGGTTGTATATTGTATTGTGAGACATCGCCATGGTTATGAAATATGTTGCTTTCTTATGACCGAGGGTCAGACTGATGAGTCCTGAGTAAGAAGGGGCAGAAAAAGTGTTTGCCTGAATGTCCAGAAGAATGATGAAATGATATTTGTCTTGGGCCAGATACCAATGGGGCAAGTCCAGGTTTTATAACAATAAGAAAGTTTGTATAAGATACTGAAGGGGAGTGAAGCTGTAGCTCACATGATTTTGTTGTCTTATACAAGTTGTATATATTTTCTTGCCTTGAAGAGCTTTTATTATCTGTTGTGTTTTTAGGTATGGTACTACACATCAATTTCTCCTGTTTATGATGCCCACATTTTCAGTGAATGTGGGTAACCATTTCAAAGGTGATTGTCTTTATACCATTTGTTTTTTCTATAAGATATGGACAAAAATAAGACTTGAGACAGTGTATTCTATCATTACCTCAGTTTCTGAAGGATATGTGATGTCAGACCTGAGCCAAAAGGCTGAATTCCTTAACAATATTTATGTGTTGATGTTCATCACCAAAACTGTTAGTGTCAGGTTATTTAAGTCTTCAGGAAAGATTATGCAAACACCTTTGTGCTTTGTGTGTGTGGAAAATATATGAATGAAGCAGCTTCAGGAAGTGCCTTGATGGCCCAGTATTGGGCCATCAAGGCACTTCCTGAAGCTGCTTCACTGATTCAACCATGGGTGATTTGAACTCACACTGGTTGGTTGGTTGGTTGGTGTAAGGGACTTTTGTGCACGACAGTAGATAAGCTCAGTAGGTAATGTACAGTATATTGAAGTGTATACCTTCATGAACAATATTTTGTTTGGTATTATTAAAGTACAGTAAAGTATGTAGAGTTGTTTAAGTAATGCTTTACATCAGGAGATATTGTTTAGTTAACTGGAAAGAAGTAAAGAAAAAAAGGTAGTTTTGACATGATTGGTCATGTTTTTGTGACTTTTTTCAAGAATCATTGTTTGTAAAGGTCATTGGAAAGATGTTAATAAAGTGTAGAAAGTTATTTAGAGTTAGTTAAGTTGACAGGTTAATGGAGTTATAGAATATAACTCATCCTTTCTTAGCTTGATATGATGAAACAGTGATGACAATAATGTAGATATATCATCATATCTGTATTTGTCTAGTCATTACTACTGTTTTCACTTTCTGAATAGCTTAAATGCTTTTGGTTATATTGTAAATACAGTACAGTTCAGTATATTGGTGTGTTATAGTGCCCACCTACAGCAGTTGTCCAAGTATATAATAAAAATGTTGCGCAGTCAAATATTGGATATTTATTATATTTTGTTAATTTCTCTCTAGGCCAACAAAAAACTAAGTACTGTATTAATATAAAGGATATATTTAAAGATCACTGCTTTCATTTTTATGTTGAATAGTGATACTGTAGTAGTAAATTGGTCCAGTAGGATTGGTCTCCATTATACCTGTACTTGTATGTTTTCATGTCGTGTGTTGTATTTAATGGTAATTTATATCTTACAACTGGATGACTGTTTATTATATTGTACAGTTTAGGAACGCTTCACCATGTTCATCCATTAAGACATTCATCCACCCCCTCCCTCTCCTAACTCCTTACACACACCAACTGGTCTGGCCTGGCATCGTTTTAAGGGGATGGGGGTAATCCTCTTAGTACTTAATGCTACAGAAACAGTTCAATAACAGACATAGTGAACCTTCAAGTCCTGTCATCTTAAGGCTTTACACTTCACTTCACTTTTTTTGCTTTCACAGTATTGTCTTTCTAGTGAAAGGTAAAATGATTGGCACTCTGAACACCCATATTAAATAATAATTCATCTCACATTTAACTGTATTTATTTTTTCCATATTGAAAATTAATACTGTATATAAATTAATTTATGGTCAGGATTTGGAAACAAATTATTGGTAATTATTATAACTTTTAAGTGACAATAAACCAAAGACAATATTTCCATGTGTTCACTTGTTTTGTCTTCGACTTTATAGGTTCATATAAAGATGTTACTATATTTAAATGGTGTCTGATTACTGTGAGGATTACCTTTTTCACTCTACTGTAAGTATCTGCTGGTTTTGTGGGCATATTGAACCTGAGTGCCACAATAGGTGATGCAGTATGAAGCAGACTTTCCCATATGTGATAAATAGATGTATTGGTATATGTATACAGTAATTCCTAGCTTAACGTCGTCCCACCTAACATTGTTTCGGCGCTACATCGCTAAAATTTTGATACCAAAAATTCTAACGTCCCGGTGAGTTGGTACAACGTCGTTTTGCGTCATCAAGGAACTACTTTTTACGGCGCATCACCCTCTCGTCTCGGCTCACTACCCTCACTCGCGGAACGTCACAGCGTCCCCAAGCCAGTCTCTGTTACGACTTCACATCATTCATTTGTGCTAAAGTGTTTTTGCTCTAAAACTGTACTCTAACTATTCGGAATGGCTTCCAAGTGCTACTGATGCTAGTGTAGTGAAGAGGCAACGTAAGACCATTACCCTTGCTACGAAAATGGATGTATTAACCCGATTTGAAAAAGGGGAACGTGCTGTGGATATAGCCACTGTGCTTGGTCTAACCCCCACAACGGTCCGTACTATCTGGACCAATGCTGACAAGATTAAGGTTAGTGCTGGAAGTGGTACATCTCTGAGTGCAACTAAGACAACTCGTAATAGAAGCACTTTGATAGAAAAGGTGGAAAAGATGCTGGCAATGTGGATGGAGGACCAGAATCTACGCAATGCCCCTGTGAGCCTTATGGTTATTCAGAATAAGGCCAGATCCTGGTTTGACGACATGAAGGAAACCAAGGGTGAAGGATCAAAGGAAGAGGCTTTTACGGCCAACTGAGGCTGGTTTTAACAATTTAAGCATCTTTATAACTTCCATAACATTAAGATGACTGGTGAAGCTGCTAGTTCAGATTCGGTTGCTGCAGAGACATTCCCACCAGATTTAAAAAACATTATCCAGGAAGGAGGCTACTCTTCAAAGCAAGTCGTCAATGTGGATGAGACTGGTCTCTTTTGGAAGAGGACCTGTATCTCCAAGGAGGAGAAAAGAGTGCCTGGTTTTAAAGCGGCAAAAGACCGCTTGGCACGAACGCTGTCAACGACTTCAAGCTGAAGCCAATGTTGATTTCTCATGCTGCCATCCCACAGGCCTTGAAAGGTTACTCGAAGGATCACCTTCCAGTGATCTAAAAGACAAATAAGAAGGCATGAATAATCAGCGCCATATTTAGCCAGTGGTTAAACGTGTACGCCATCCCTGCAATGAAGGAATACTGTGCCAAGGAGAACCTTGACTTCAAAATTCTTCTGATCGTTGACAATGTTTCAGCTCATCCTCCCAATCTCGACGACTTGCTTGACTGTAAAAGTTGTATTCCTGCCTCCCCAACACGACAGCACTGATGTAGCCTATGGACGAAGGCGTCATCGCTGCATTCAAGGCATTTATTTACGCCATACCATGGTCCAGCTACTCAAGGCTACAGTCGGAGAAAATAAACCTACAATCCGAGAATATTGGCGTGGCTTCAACATTCTTCAGGCAAGTGATAACATCGGCAAGGCAGGGAAGAGGTTTCAGAAAGTTGTCTGAATGGTGTGTGGCATAGATTGTGGCCCGAGTGCGTCAACAATTTTAAGGGATTCACGGACTTAGTCCCAGCAGTGAATAGGGATATCCTCAGCTTGGCTAGACAGGCAGGCTTCGATGAGCTGGGATCAGAAGATATTGAGGACGTCCTGGCATCCCATACAGAAGAGCTCGCCAATGAAGATCTACAACTGATAACAGAAAGCAGTCCCGTTGAAGACAACGACGACGAAGAAGAACCTCAACAAATGCTAACTTCCAAGAGAATGGCAGAAGAGTTTAACATGATCCAGCAAGGAATGCAAATCCTTATAGATGATGACCCTAACAGAGAACATAGCTCAAAGATTCAACGCAGCATTGATGAAAGTCTTGGTTGTTACACTGAGATGTACAAGGAGAAGAGTAGCACCAAGCAGTCACTGGATTAATTTTTTCGTCGTGGGACAGCAGAAGCAGCTCCTTCACAACAGCCGGCAGCCGAGGAGGAGCAGCGGTGGAGGAATCCCAGTCAGCGCAGGAGGAGGAGGAGGAGGCAGCTGCAGAGTCTCAGTGACTCACCACCCTCCTCCCCTCCCGCCCTCCTCCGCTCCCGCCCTCCTCCTCTGCTTCACTACCCACCACACATTCGCTCTACCGCCTTCGACCATCGATGAGTACTAATACAAACTTGGTACAGGGGGTAGTTGTATCTGCATACACTAGTTTCCATAGAAATGGCAATGATTTTCTGTATATGTAATGTATTTCATGGGCCAAGGGAGGCTCAGGAATGTAACTCCCATATTTTATCTATTTCTTAGAGGAAAATTTATCCACTTAACGTGGTTTCGTAGAAAGTCGTGTTTTCAGGAACGTAACCTCAACGTTAAGCGAGGACTTGCTATGTGTATTGGGCTATATTTTTGTTATCATTTAGTTATGTTTGTTTTGTTTGGTACAAAACAAAGAAATATGAAAAGACTTTATTCGAAAGCGAATTTCATCTTTGACTTCAACCTTTTATGATAAATATTTAAACTTTTCTAACATCCTTTCTGAAGTGCTAATGCCTTGAAATCATTTCCATTTTGATAGTCCAGATATTATCATTATTTTAGAGAATAACAAGCGTGCTTTCTATTTGTGAACATATTTAGTTTGAATAAATGGACAGCTACACGAACATTTTCTATGAACTAATTAGCTTTTTGTCGCTATAGACGAGAGGTGTGGCTTACGGGCCAGGTTAGCATGGAAATATTATAGTTAACAAAACCATCTGGTGCTGAATTCCAGTAGGGTCCTTTGCTTAAGGCAGTGTTTCTCAAACTTTTTCAATCCATTCCCCCAATAAGGAACTCTCAACATCCTTGTGGCCCCCCCCCCTTCAGTACTCTCCCAAGCCCCTCACAAATAATGATGAAAATAAAATATTTTGGTTCTCTTCCTTTATTTTAATGTTTACAATCATCAAACAAAATGCATATTTTGTTACAGTTCCATGGGATGGATGACATTGTTTCCTTTCAGTCAGTAGACTGATTCGAGGTTGAGTCACTGATAAAGCACATCTCATGTCTGGGTCCACATGTAACCGGTTTCGGCTTTTATTCATTATTTGAAGGATGGTGGAAAAACCAGATTCACAAATAAGTAGTAGAAAAATGGCAAGAGGACTCGCAGTGCGATCTCACTAACTTTTGGATATAGACTGATACATTGAGCACCAGAATACAGTCAGATTTTTCTTTATAGAGGTTTCTGGCAGCAGAATCGTTCCTGAAATCAAGAAATTCGTCCTGAATATCGGTGGGAATGGCAGCAATATCAAGAGTGCCAGAGAAAGGATTCCTCACCAATTTCCCTTCTTCCTCCTCGAATTCTGGAAAGTACCTTTTGAGCTCACTTTCCAAGGATTTCAAGTGCTGAATTATTTCATTTTTGAGTGATGGGTCAAGTAGATGATCCTCTTCAATCTCGTCAAGAACAGTTGAGATTCTCAAACATGGCAACATTTCTTGCACTGACTTTCCTTTGCCAGTTCTGGAGTTTGTCAAGAAATGCACGAATACAATCCATTTGGTGAAACACATTTCTTTCTTTGCGTTATAGCTTGAGATTCAGCCTGTTTAGTTGCTCAAATTTGTCTGCCAGGTACGCAAGACGTGGCTCCCACAACACCTCGTTAGTAGATCATCCTTCCCTTTCATTTCCAGGAACAATTTAAGTTCGAACACTCGATTCACAACATTGCCCTTGGATAGCCATCGTAAAAGAGGTGGGTTTCATGCTCCGAATCCATGCTATGAGGGCCTGAGCTGCCACCATTTATGAGGGCCTGTGTGTGCCAGTAACAATTCCTTTTACTCTCATACTTATTACCATTGGTAGCGTGATGAGAGGAGGCTCGTGGGTAGATGTAATGATAGTATCAAGCAATAGGGAAGAAATAACGGTAAATACTGTAGGTAAATAATAGACACAATTATACAAATACAAAATTTGTTTAAACATGAATATGAAATTAGGAGAAAGAATTTATTTGTACCAACAGACGAAATCTAGTACTAGGCCCTCAGGCTCAACATGCTCACACCCCTACTGGGTGGACATACTCAATAACACTTCCAACCCTACTGGGTGGACATACTCAATAACACACAACTCTTATAGTCACTTCGCACCATAAAGACCAGGGGCAACTGCCACTACAACACTCAGTCGTCAGGGGTGATACTCAAGCAACAGCCATGGGGTCCAGCCACCATGGAGTACTTTCCGACGAACTCTGAAGATTCCAGTGGATTAATTCCACCACACAAATAGCCCTACTGAGTTAGACACTCATCCACCAATGATGGGGGCTGGTAGTGGTGTGTGGCTTGGTGATCCGGGGTCACCTCGCAGGCCGAGCATTAGGGCCAGACGAGCCAGCTATGGGGGCTATAGGTAGTCTGAAGTGTCTGACGGCCGGGTCTCACGAAGGTAACTGATCCTACTGGACCTCGGACATCTCCCCAGACATAGTGGATACAACATCCACGCTACAGACACGGCCTAGGCTGCGTTAGGGACCTGTATGGATGAAGGGACAGGCACTCACTAACGGTGACAACAACATCACGTTTCAGGGGACGTTAAAGACGTACATATGACTTCACTCAGCATATCAACTACGTTACTGTAACACTTGCACAATCAACTATTAATTGGGTCAAATCACTTAAAGAAGGGC